GATGTGTACTCAGGCATGGATTAGAGACAGGTATGGTTAGAGACTGCTATCAGCAACGTTGGTGAGTAAGGATTGTTTAAGGGCCCCATCTGGTGCCCTTTTAGTTCTATAAACCAAGATTAAATGGACTACATATGTACTGATATATTGATGTAAAGAAATGCTGAAGAAACTCTGGAAAAGAAGACTGATAGTGAAAACTGGTTTTGCCTGATTTTATAAAGGCATTTGAATTGAAACTGAATCAGTGTCTGACTCCAAAATAGGAATCATTTATAACACAGTAGGAAGTTCAGTTTTAGAACTAAGAGATAGTTCTAAAGGGATAATGGTTCTAAGGGATAATACATAATTAGTTTTATTTTCATTAAATTTACTGGCACGACACTGGTTAATGAACTTATATAGGTTTCAAGTGTCTAATCATATAATACATCTATATATATTGCATTATGTGTTCACCACCCAAAGTCAAATCTTCTTCCATCACCATGTATTTGACACAATTTACCCTCTTCTACCTCCCCCCTACCCTTTACCCTTTGGAAATCACTAAACTTGTCTCTATGATTTTTTGTTTGTTCATCGTTTTTCTTTCAGTTTATATCCCACATGACTGAAACGAGATGCTTCTCGACTTTTTCTGCCTTAGTTTGCTTAGCATGAGAATCTCAAGGACTATCATTGTTCTTGAAAATGGCAGTATTTTACCTTTTCTTATTGCATTTTATATATGTATTACATCTTCTTTAGTCAGTTGTCTCCTGAAGGACATTACAGTTGTTTCCATGTCTTGGCCACTGTGAATAATGCTGCAGTGAACACAAGGGTACATGGGTCATTATAGATTTATACGTTTTAGATTTGGGGGGGTACATCCCCAGAAGAGGGATTGCTGGGTCATATGATAATTCTATTCTGAATTTTTTTGAGGAACTTCCATACTGATTTCCATAGTGGCTGTACCAATTTACATCTTCATCAGCAGTGTATGAGGGTTCTGTTTTCTCCACAACCTCTCTAACACATTATTACTGGCCTTATCGATAATAGCAATTCTAAAAAGAGTGTGATGGAGGAGGCTGTTGGCTCAGTTGGTTAGAGTGCAGTGCTCATAACATCAAGGTTGCCCGTTTCATTCCCGCACGGGCCAGTGACGCTGCACCAGAACTCAGCTGCCGCTGAGCTGCCGACAGGTGGCAGGGTGGCTCAGCTGGTGAGAGCACATGGTCCTAAAAACAAGACTGCCAGTTCGATGGTGGGCTATGCCTGCCCACAAGTAAGACTGAACTTGGCACCTTAAGCTGAGCTGCTGCCCAGATCGCTCAGTGGATAGAGCATGTGCTCTTAATAACAAGGCTGCTGGTTTGAGTCCCGTATGGGATGGTGGCTACGCCCACCCGAAACTAAGATTGTAACACAGCAACTTGAGCTTAGAGGCCACAAGCTGCGGGAAGCCAGGTGGTGACAGGCGCCCTCCACAACTAAGATTGAACAACTTGGCTGGTCCCCTTCCCCAATTCCCCAACACTGTTCCCCTCCCTAAATTCCCCAATTAAAAAAAAAAAGATAAAACATTATGAAGATTTTACACCAACAAACCCCAAATAACTTCCTTCAAAGAGGGTCACGGGTTCAGTCATGTAAAGCGGAATCTCCCAAGAGACGTTGCATAAATGAAAGAAACTGAACCCTGCGCTTGGCAGAGATCTGGAAGGAAGCTCTCCTCGTGCATGGAGACCAGGTTCCTGGAGTTCTCCAATATTACGTCCATGTATAAATCCCACTGACAGGCCCAGGCATCCCTACTCCTGAGAGAATTCTAAAGCCACATCCCTCAATATCACAGTCCCTGCAGTAAATAACACATTTACCAAGCAGCTATGAACACAGTTCATAACTTGACCAAAGATGAAAAGTTAAGAGAAATGGTTCTGACTCTGGTGAGTGCCTGAAATATAAAATTATTTTCCACATGGTAAAATTCTCTAATATTTTCTTTAAGTGAAAAAAGCTAAAGACATTGATGTAAAACCCCCCTTTAGATAATACACTTTGGGGAAGATAAAATATGTAATTAAAGCGTCAACACAGGCACATGTATTTTTGAGTGTGTGTATCCCACACAGGCAACTTGTGGTGAGTTTCAAGCATATTTCTCAAATTAGAATGAGCACAGCAATGAACACAAGATCTTACAATGCAGGTTCTAGTAGTTGTGAAATGGGGCCTAAGTTTCTGCATTTCTAACATCCTGGCCACTCATGCTAATGCCTTTGGTCCAAGTGTCACACTTTTTAATACCAAAGCGTTAAAACACATGGCAAGCCCTGATAAATGACTTGGAATAGAAAGAGCTTCACAGAAATGAAAGGTTCTTCTGTAATAGCAATAATGGCAGACCATTCCTTTACGAACAGTATTTTTTATGAACAGTTAGACAGCATTCTAACTTTTTCTAATATTAATGCATAAAACTACAAAAAAGTCTGAGAGAAATATTATTTTTCTTTCATATTTTCCAATATCCAGTGTATCGGTGTAGAATTAACCCCTGGTCATTCACAGAATGGGGAGGAATTCACGAGACTCTACGAAGTAGAAGAGCAAAACAAGGTCTGTGGAATGTCAGGTAGAGAGTTTTTTGGAAGAGAAATACTGGCAAAGGGAGTTTGCAAGGGCAGAGTCCAATAGGGACAGCTGCAGAGACAGATGGGTAAGAGGAATACTGGCAAAAGGAGTTTGCAAGTGCAGAGTCTGATGGAGACAGCTGCGGTGGGTTTCTGTTTACCTGGAGTTATATTTTTCCATGGAGGATGAAGGGTGCTTGTTAGCATGCAGGAAGGCTGCCGTTACAATTGTCTTCTCTTGGCAACTGTCCTGTTCCCACCTATGATGGTTTTAAGGTGCTTGTTAGCTTGCAGCTGCAGTGCTAGCCAGGGGATTCAGAGCCAACCAGTTACTTTTTAAGCCCATTTCTGCCAGGTCACAAGCTTGCTCCTGTTAACTCTGCTTGTCTCATCATCAAGTAAACACTAGGACCTGGGGTTGAACCTACCTTTTCTGACCTAGAATTTATCTCAACAAAGACACATATGAGGCTAATATTCAGAGAAAATCATCAGAGCAGATTTTGTAACTGAGAAGAGTAACACGAAGTTCCAAACAGAATTAATCAAATAATTTTTATATTTTAGGCACAAATCCATCTCTAAAAAGTAACTATGTAAAGGACAAAAGTAACACAGTGGAAAAATTTCAATGTCAGTGAAATGAAGAAATTAAAAAAAAAATTTATTGGGGAATAGGGAAAGGGGAACAGACAAGTTGCTGTCCTTTTGTTCTTCAGTCTATTTGTGGAGGACGTTGTTTCTCTGGCCCATGTTGGTATTATCATTGCGCTCTTCCTGGGTGAAGCAGTCACTTGCCGGCCATTGGACGGCCGCTCACAGCGGCTAACAGTAGCTCACGGCAGCTCACGGAAGCGCAAACCCGCTGCTGGCCAGCCCCACTGCAGCCTATGCCGTCGCCAGCGACTCACGGCAGCCCAGCTTCAGGTTGAGCTGCTGTTCACCATCTTAGCTGTAGAGGGTGCAGCGTCACTGGCCCTCATATGTGGAATCCGAACCAGGGCTCTGCTGCTCAGAGCTGGTGTTCCAAGCCAACTTCTAACCAATGCGCCACTTGGTCGGTCCAGAAATATTTTTAATTGCAGAAACTTATGCATCTATTTGTGGATGCAGTTTTTTGAGTGGTTTAAAAATATGGGGGAAAACCTGCCCAAAGATGTAAACTCATATAAAAGGTATTTGTGAGTGCAGACGTTAATGAAAAATGTTTAGTTATCACTGTGCTCAATTATACATTAGATTTTGCAGACACCCAAATATCTATTAACTATATTACTCTCATTTTTTTTTCTTCTGCAAATAGACAAAGACATGAAGAAGAGTACAAATATGTCAGACATGCCTTTGGAATAAAAGGGAATCTTACAGGACTGAGGCCTGAGTGACTTAGAACCTCCAGTTGTAAAATCAGTATCTGTAATAAACAAAGGTCAGAGCGTTCACGTTCTAAAGCAAAATAAAGCAAAGACAAACTCAAAAGGAGTTTGTAGAGTAAATGTTCTTTATAACAACACTCAATAAATACCCCCAAATGCTTATTAGTGAAAATAGGAAAACTGTTAATATCATAGAGGAATGGGGCACACAAGACCTGAATCTACTGGATGAAGGTAACACCAGCTGTAATGGGACAAATTGCAGATGGATGAACTCATCATCTATCCTGTTACCATTGGGGGAAAGTGAATTATGATATGAATCTAACCACAAGGAAATGGCTGCTTCAAGCACATTTCAAGCCACATGTAGCTCCCATGTCTGCTAACCTTTACTTTAGTTTAAATAGTGTTTCTTTGGCATTCTAGACAGCAAGGCTCTCTTTCCATTTGCAAATGAAAACCTTGGGGAAAGGATTACTAGTGTTTTCATTCCACTGCATCACCAAATACTGAATTGTTGATTCCAACCATGACTAAGGTGGGCGAGGTCAATGCTGTTGGCAGGGTAACAAGTCATTCATTACACACAAGTATTAATACATTAAAAATCACTTGCTTTATTATTAATGTAAATATAAGTTTCACATTCTAAATAAAGCACAGCAAACCACCTGTGGGATCCATGCACAAAATATAGATAAGCATTTAAGAAGCATTCTGGTTGATCTAATATAATGACCTTAGAGCTCTGTTTCCATGGGTTTGAAGACTGAGGCTCATTGTTTAGGAAACAATGATGTACAATAATTTATGCACTTAGGGATAAGTTGTCTGTCCTTCCTAGATATCTCTGAAGACCTCTTTATTTCAACCACATTTGGTAATATTTATGACTCCTATATACGGCTACTACAAAGACACATCAGGGTTTCAAAAACCACCTTATTTTCCTCAAAATTGGAAAAATTATAATTCAGAATGTTCCTGTCTCACATTAATGCAGAGAATGATGCCCTGAACACCTACTTCATGGTGACTTACATCAACATTCTAAGTCAACCAAACAGCATCTCCATTTGTATTTTCATCACACATTGTGTATTACAGTGCCCTCATTATTCCAGAGAAAAGTATTTCTGAGTGAATCCCACCCAACATACATGGGTTCTCAGATGCTAGAGACAGCAACAAACGACCCATGATTCACACACACTAGGAGTAAAAAAACAGCATTAAGTGACTTCACAGTGGGATCAAATTAATATTTCTTTTTCAACAAACTTGAAGTACTATCAATATATAAAGACTGATGGTAAATAATTGTACCTTTCCAATATCCATCCCCATGACACTTTCAAGCATGTTCAAAAGTTTTTTTAACATTTTCTTATTCACTATATGTATTCTGATTTAAAGTAATATCTGAACACTGTTCTTTACTACTTTGTAATGTCAATTCTCTAATATTTCAGATTTCATTGTCGATTAAACATTTCCTCACATTATTTTACATCTTTAAAGTCACTTTGGAGCATGAATTATGAGGACTTTCTGAAGTTTGTATTTTGAACACAGGGTTTTCATTGTTGATTTTGAATGCTGATTTCTCCCCAGTAAGCATTCTCTGATATTGAGGCTGTAGGTCCAGCTACAGGGTTTCTTGGATTCTTCAGTTTTAAGGTTTCTCTCCATTATCAAGTTTCATGCGCTCAGTCAACTCTAAATGGTGACTAATGGCTTTGCCACATTCTTCACATTTGTAAGGCTTCTTTCTCTCCTGTATGCACTCTCTCATGCCTAGTAAGAAACGAACGCTGAGTAAAGGCTTTATTTACCATGTTGTTTACATTCGTAAGGCTTCTCTCCACTACGGATTAACTCATGTGTAGTAAGATGTGAACATCGAATAAACGCTTTACCACATTCTCTGCATTTGAAAGACTTCTCTCCAGTATGAACTCTCATGTGTACAGCAAGACTTGAGTTCTGAGTAAAGGCTTGACCACATTCTCTGCATTTTTAAGTCTTCTCTGCAGTATGAATTTTCTCATGCTGTGTAAGTTTATAGCACCGCTGGAAGGCTTTGCCACATTCTCGACATTTGTAAGGCTTCTCTCCACTATGGATTAACTCATGTTTAGTAAGATATGAACGTTGAAGAAACGCTTTACCACATTCTCTACATTTGAAAGTCTTCTGTCCAGCATGAATTCTCCTATGTTTCGCGAGAGCTGACTGCTCAGTAAATGCTTTGCAACAGTGTTCACATTTGTACGGCTTCTCTCCAGTATGAACTCTCATATGCACGGCAAGACTTGAGCGCTGAATAAAGGCTTT